CTGCTGCCGTTGCTGACGTACCTTGTGTCGAGGCACCAGATTACGGGTTGCACCCACACCCTTTGTAACTGCTGTTTCTGCTGCAGTTTCTGCTGCTTCCTTCGGAGATACTCCTGCGAGCGTCAGCCCAGCAGCAGCAGCAGCAGCAGCACGAACAGCAGCAGCAGGAGCACCTTTGTCTCGAGCTTCTCGCCAGGCTGGGCCTGCTGCTAACAAAACTGCATGAGCTCCAGAAATCATGTAGTAAGAGGAACGACAGTCTGATATCATCGCCTTCACGGTGTTCGCCTGAGAACCCCCACAGCCCCAGTAAACGCATGCACAAGGCATACAAAGAAGCTCGTGGGTTTACTCGAGGGTTTAGGGTTTAGGGTTTAGGGTCTAGGGTTTATCGGCTGTCGTTAGTGTTGTGAGGCGATGAAACAAAGTTCAAGACGAACAGCGGCTCATCCTCTTCTGAAATTGGCAATGTCAGCGAAGCTAGCTGTTAGGTATTGTTCAGGGTTTAGGGTTGGATGTTTAGGGTTTAGGGTTTAGGGTTTAGGGCATACGAGCAGCTCGCGATGCTTTCGAGACAAAAGCGGACGCATCCGTATTGCGTCTTTCAGCGCCTGGAAGACATCTGCACAGATGAACACAACACTCTTCCGAGGGTTTAGGGTTTAGAGTTTCAGGTTTAGGGTTTAGGGTTTAGGGTTTACGCGCCAGAAGTTATGAGGGCTCACCTTCTCTGGATCTGCACTGCGCTGTGACTTCGATCTTTGCCTCTGCCTCGTAGAACCGGGCGTTTGCTTCATCTTCTGTGGAATCTGAATGTTGCGCAGCAGCTGCTTTTGCTCTGCTTTGCTGCTGCTCCTGCAGCTGGTAATGTTGCTTGGTTTGTTGCTCGGCGTCCTGAAGCTGCTGGTGCTGCAGAACGTGGCCGCCGTCTCGCAGAGGTGCAGCACTTGCGGGCGCCACTACTGATGGCCTCCAAGGGCCCCTGTTCAGGGTGCTTGACGCCATGAGGGGCCCCGTGAAGATATAATGACTATTGTTTAGAGGAATCAGAAGAAAAGTAGCCTAGAACTCCTGTCCTCTTAGTTGAAACGCAGGCTGAACGGGCGTTGCCACGCAGGCGGAATGTGTAGAATTGGGGCACAGAATTGCGACATACATAGATCACCGGCAGAGCCAACAATGCAAATTATGCAGCAACTAACAATAAACCTGAAGAAGATGCTGTATCGATGCTGCACTGGTGTCATCCGTGCAGGTATTTGCCGACTAGCGATGCTGGCCACGTGTTTTGTACCTTCGATCCACCCAGTGAAAACTTGCATCCGAAGTTGAATTCATTAGTTTGAGTATAAATAACAATAATTAATAATTAACGATGATTAACTCGTCCTATCAACCATCAGATCGCGCCCACAGCGAGCCCCAAGCCACACCGGGAAACTTCTGAAATCCGGCAATATAAAACGGAGGAAAGCTGTGAAAAATCCAATGACATGCATTTAATTGGAGTTTCAACATTAAATTAAACTCAAATGTACTGTGGCTTTTCATGAATAATGCTTTTCCATGCAGGATGAGAGGAATGCTCTGGACCTGGGGCCTCCCATACCAGTCCGCTACTGGCTGACACCGTTGTTCCCCTTGCTGTCTGCTGCGTTTATCGTCTATCAGCGTTTCCCTTGCAAATATACACTATATAGAGAAAGCTAATCAAACAAAGGAAAACGCATGCAAATGATTTACCCCCTTGTTCCGGCCTCCACACACACAGTTGGCTCAAGAAGACAGCCGAATCGATACTGTACAAGCGCAGTGAAACAGAGTTTATGTGGAACGCGAACGCATTCCACTTACTCAACCTGAGATTTCAGTAGCAGGGAACGAATTCAGAGAAGAAAAGAGAAAGTACATCTTCATACGTAATGCCTCTGGTGCAAAGAAAATACATTGCCATCCGCTGCGTGCAGCAGCACTGCAGGCTTCGAACGAAATAGTAAACTATAAATCCTGATTGGTAGGGTCAACGAAGCAGCTTCTCCGCCTGCTAGAAGCTTCATGGGGGGAGCAAAG